GGCCTTACTATAGTAGCAAGAGAGTAGTTATTTAGTAATGTCTATTAGGACAAGAATAGTAACACTATATTAGTGTAGGACAATCTAATAAGCTATTAAGCCTAGTCCTAATACCTAGAATATAGTAAATAATAGAAAATGTTAAAGGATAGGTTTAGGGTTAGGATTTTTGCCCTTCTACTAAGAGGTGGCGTACTAAACTCTTTTATAGAAAGAAGACCCCTATAGGTCTTGCAAGAATAGATTAAAATAATTACGTAATATAACAAGAGGGTTAAAGATATAGCTAAGGTAATTAAACTGTTATTGCTAAGCTATCTACAAGAAGAATAGCTACTAGGGGAGCTATTATTAGAAATAGTAGATAGTAGAGAACTTAGAGAGTATAACTTGCTAGATTTACTTCTACCTGTAGTAGACACGCAGAGAAACTTTAAGGTAGTATTAGATAATATAGATATTCCTAACTCTTAGTTAGTAGCCTCCTAGCTATTAATATAATATAGGGACATGGCAAAGCACCTATTAGTAAACTATGCTATTCTATATAACTAATACTTAATTCTAATAGTAGGAAATTACTTAGCTAGAAAGTCCCTAGTTTACCTAATATAACAGCGCAAGTAGCAAATGCCCTATAGCTAACTAGTCTATTCTAGGTTACCTTAGAGCGTGGAAATACCTAATAGGTTATTAGTCCTCTTATGCCTAGCATTTTAGGCGCAGTGTAGGTAGAAAATTCCTAAGGATCCCTATAATTACTAGCTTTACCTATTATAGTTGCTAGCACTTACTATACTACTATTATCCCCTATTAAAACTATTATAGTGTTTGCATGTCTATAATTTTACGCCTCTTCTATAATTTCTAGCTACTTAAGGGATTAAATAGATATTACTAAATTACTATAAGTATAGGAAACTGTAGTGTTAATAGCTACTATATAGCTTTCCCTAGTTTTAATAACTAAGTTTGCATCTAGGTTTTAGTATTCCTTGCTAAGCTAGCTTTTGCTATCTAGTGTACTTTTGCTATCTAGCGTCCTTTTACTAGTTTTAGTAGCAAAGTTCGTGTAAAAGTTTTAATATTCCTTGCTAAGCTAGCTTTTGCTATCTAGCGTACTTTTACTATCTAGTATCCTTTTACTAGTTTTAGCAGCAAAGTTTATGCAAAAGTTTTAATATTCCTTGCTAAGCTAGCTTTTGCTATCTAGCGTACTTTTGCTATCTAGCGTCCTTTTACTAGTTTTAGTAGCAAAGTTCGTGCAAAGGTTTTAATGTTCCTCGCCAAGCTAGCTTTTGCTGTCTAGCGTCCTAATGCACAAGCCAATTTTTTCGTACTTTGACAGCAAAAGTTCGCAAACTAATATCCTTAGTTTAACCCTAATCTAGTAAGATCCTAGTAGATAGAGCTTTAAGATAATCCTGTACTATAAGCTATCCTTTAATATTAGGAATATTATATACCTTAGCTTGTGTATATAGGATTATCCACTCCTTCTACTAGTAATTAGCGTCTTAGCTACTTATCTTTGCCTTAGCAAGATAACCTTTATACTATAATCTTGCTAGTGTTGCAGCGCTTAAATTAGTTAGCGCTAGGTTATTGCAGAGCACTTAGATAAGTGCTTAGAGGGTTACTCTTCCTTAATTAACAAGCTCTATATAGGCTAGGGTAAGAATCCCTTAATCTACTATATTATTAACCTATATAAAAAGGTTCTAGATTACTAATAACTTTAATACCTAATCTAATAAGTAGGCTTAGTACTAAGCTATTTAGAGCTTATACTACTCGCTTATTATATTAGATAGCATAATATTTATTAGCATATTAGGCTTAATAGGTTTATTCTTAAAGTAGTTTTTAGCATCCTAAGTATTAGGGTCTACCTCTACCTAGATCCCTTTAGTTAGGGCATAGTATCTAAATTAAATATACTAGGTAGGCTAGTTAGTTAATCTAGTAAGTAGGATATCCCCCTTTAGGATTTAGTTGCTTATAGTAGAAGAGTAATAAGTAAGCTTCTGCTTAAGAAATAGTATAAAGAGTAAAGCTTGCTAGCTTAGTGTCTAAGTTAAATAATACGCTTAAATAGATAGGACGATCTTTAATAAGGTAAAGCGCAAACTAGGCTTATAACTATAGAAATCTAGATTACTAAGGTTAGGAATAATTTAGGAGATAGATTATTAGATTATATCTACTACAATTAGACTTATATATATAGAGCTTTAGCTACCCTTACTAGAAGGTAAATAATTAGTAAACCTTCCTTACTAGAGCTCCTGCTTTTTATTAGGCACTTGGTAGTAAGCTAGCAGTCGATTAGATAGTAGGTCATACAGGGGTATTGATCGGGATTGATTGGATCAAGATGCTCCGTGATCCGGTTGATATCCCTCCTGCAACAGTTACTTACCTATAGAGTACGTTATACCTAACTAAACTGTATAAAACTTATATCTAAATCCTAACTATAGTATATTAGACTCTAGACCTAGCCTAACACTATAGCGTGTGCGAGAATCTTTAGTTAGATTAGGGTCTAACATAAGTCAGACCTAAACTATACCCAAGTTCTAGCTTGGCGCTATTGACATCAACAACGTCAACATCGCACCAGCACTCAACACTCGCGGAGCATCCCGCCCGTTGCCGCAGCCTATGGCAATCGCCCGGTATTCCTCCAAGCGCACACATGACGAAGCTGTGTTCAGCCGCCTACATGCCCTGACGCCATGTAAACAAGGCTCAGAAATTGCGCGCTGGGTCGTGGCGGTCGCCGACTCCGAGGCCGGCCATGACGACGTGCTCCCCACTGCTAAGCGCCAGCGGGTGCTGCGCAGTCTCCACACCACCTCGCATCGAGTGAAGACCGCGAAACGTAACATGGCTGCAGCCTCGCCGACGCGCCGATTGAAGAGAGACAGATCACCCGCGAAGAAGAATGTGGTGGTAGCGACACGGCGAAAAGGGCGACAGGGAGGACTAGAAGAAGCCGACGCAGACGTTCAACAAAGCGCGGTCAATGCGTTCTCCGAGGGTACACCCTCGCTCCCCGCGCCTGCATCGTCGTTACGCTCGCTATCGCCCCCCAAGAGGAAGACAGCCTCTACAAAGGCGGACCTGGCGTACCTCAACCCAAACATTGAGTTTTTTCCCTTGAGGCATACCGGGGAGACTGGCATATTGCTGCCCGTGTCTGTCACCGAGCTCTGGAGCCGTTGCGAGGTGAGATGGGCTTCTGCCTGCGTTTGTCCAGGCATTTCATGCTGACAACACCAGAAAAGACAGCTCGACCCGCTAACAACAGACCCTCCCGTTCCTCTCACCGACAAAGACCACAGAATCATCAATGACACTTTGTCTGACGCATTCGAGCAAGCGGAGAAATGGCGCGACACAACTACTGAACCACACTGGATATCTGTCGTGGTCGGTCCCATACTGCATCTCCTGCGCCGAATTGAGTGCTTCAAGAATTCTGCTGTCCCTAATGCGAGGATTGCTGTCCTCGACGTGTGCGTCCAGCAATCATCATAGCATGCCTAATCCAAGCTAAGACAATCTTTAGAACACCTATCGAGATCTCCCCAGCTGAGCTCGTCCCCTTCTCTAAAGACCCCGTACTCTACCGCGACCTCGACAAGCGCATCGACTACGTCGTCGGCCTCGATCTCCACCGAACCACGCTTAAAACGCTCCGCCGCACTAAGTATTGCACGGCCGCCCCGTCCATCAATCAGACCGCCTCGTTCGCCAACGAGACTCCCATCTTCCTCAACATCGAGGTCAAGCGCCGACACGTTGCCCGGGACCCAACAGTCCAGCTCGCGGCGTGGATTGCCGCCGAGTTTACAAAGCGAAGGTACGAGGAATGGGATCTTGGGTTTCCGGTGTTTACTGTAGAGATTGATGGCGATAATTGGCTACTGCGTGTCGCTGCTGCACGCGTTGTCCTGCGCGCCGGCGCTGCAGCTGAGTCTCCTGGAAACGGGGAAGGGAATGCACCTGAAACAGAAGCTGAAGAAGGACCGACCACGCTGCCAGAAGATGAATACGAGCTCTTCTTCTTTGGACCACTGGCTCTGGGCGATACGTTGACTCTCGAGGGCTCGAAGAGGTTGCTTGCCAACCTGATTGATATCACAAAGTGGGGGCAGTCTGAATTTCGGACGTGGTGGGGGGCGAATGTGCACAAGGTTTTGGAGAAGAGGCTGCGGCGTTGACTTGTCACACTACGAGGAAAATTAGATGGCGACATTCTTTTTGACACCTGTTATGATGTATCAAGTGAGGGCTGTTAGTGTGTGAAACGAGACCCAAATTTTGTTTGCGTGAAGTACTTGAAACCTATTTACCCTCTTGGCTTATCTCAAGATCCGACGCTCCGCTTAGCTTTGCACTAAAGGCTAGCGTTAAACTAAGAACTCCTAAGCTAATAAGATCCTGCTTGTATAATTATGTGTAAAGTATTAGTAGATATAGAAATTTAGATTACTAAGGTTAGGAATAATTTAGGAGATGGATTATGTAACAACTTAGGTAGGTAGGGCATCTAAAAGGTATCCTATACGACTCAAAGGTATATAGGAGTGCGCGTCTATATAGAAAAGGATAAGATTCCTACACCTATAGGTCTTATACAAAAGGATAAGAAGAATATGCCTATCCTAACTATAGGCGAGCTGTTCTCTATATATATTAGTAAGTTAGGCCTAACTTAGGCCTAACTTAGTATAGAATAATAGGTAGGTAATTCTACCTTATTATTACACTACCCCCTCCTGTAGAGAAAGGCTAGTCCCTATCCTTAGGATTAGGTTTAGATCCCTTATTAAAGAAAAGCTCTTGCAAAATAAATCTACCTTTACCTCTACCTTTACCTTTACTTCTTGTTCCTAGGGCATAGACCCCTATCCTTAGCCTACCTATAACTAGCCCTCTACCTACTAACTTTCTTATTCCTATATCCCTAATTTTTTAATTATTTAACCTAATCTATCTAAAATCTAGTAAGTATTTAATCTATATAATTAAGTAGTTACTAATCTAAATTAGAACCTTTAGCTATGCTACTACTAGTACTACTAGGAGTCCTCCCTATTACTTATCGCGCTCTCTATATAAGGGTAGTTAGGGCTCTAGCTAGGGGTAAGTTTAATAATTTTAATTTTAAGTTAAAGAATTCTAAGAAGTGCTAGTACTATATCTCCTAGAATAAGTATTATAATCTAGTAAGTATCTAAGTCTAATAGGGTTCCTTTACTAATTCTAGTAGATTCCTTCCTTTGTTAGCCTAGAGTACTCTGCCCTTAGGGGTGCTCTAGATAGGTACTACAGCCTAGTAGCAAACCCTACTAAAGGGGATAAGGATAAGGATACTATAGTTACTTATTAGAAGGATATTAAATAGTTTAAGGCTACTATTTAAGAAGCTGCCTAAAACCTTACTAAGTGTGTTACTATTACTAATACTTAAACTAAGGGCATAGAAGCTACTAAGATCCTTATAGCTATATATTATACTACTATATCTAATTTATATTAGCTTTAGAATAGTATTTATAAGATAGTCTTAGTAGTTAGGGGCTTAATAAGGGCTATTAATAAACTTAAGGAGGAAATAGTACTAAATTAGGAGGCAACCTTTATAGTGTAGGCTAAGATAAAGGCGCTTACTAAGAAGGCGTCTAAATCTATTCTAGCACCTGCACCTACTCCTACACCTACTCCTGCACCTGCTCTAAAACCAGCCGCACTAGTTGTCTAGAAGCTAGCTAAGAAACCTAGTCTAGGCGCTATCTTAGCTAATATAGAGTCTAAACTAGGTTCTAATAGGAAGATAGATAAAGAATAAAAGAGGTTTCCTAGGGGTAGTATCCTAGGAACCTTAAGAGTTCTAAGATAGGTCTAAATAGGATAAGACAATAAATAATAGCAAGAATAATAGTAATAGATAGTAGTTAATAGCTTAATCTATATCTAAATATAATATAAATAAGGTCCTATATTAGATATAATTATTATAAAGTAATATTAGATCCTTTTTGCCTTTTTCCTATGCTTTAATCTATTTTAGTAAGCTGCTTAGGGGGCCTAGCTAATTTAGATACTATTAGTAGAATACCTATAATTTATAGGGGGCACCTATAAAGTTAGAGGTAGGATACTAAACAGGATTAGGATTATATCTAACCTACTTAACCTTATATTTTAGCTTAGATTTATATAATTTGCTAGCTAGGATTTCTTCTACCTCTTATTCCTCTACACCTTATATAGGGGTACTAGGGGGTTTTAGAGCCTCTTATCTAGGTAATAGGTCTTAGGGATCTTTATATAGTATATTAGGAGAGAAAACGTTATAGATCTTAGAACTAGGTAGTAATTAGAGGTAATACATATTTCTTACTTATTCCAATACCTTAAAGGGACCTTCCTAGTATTTAGATAGTTTTTAGCTAGGTTATAAAATAGCAAGATTAGTAGTAGATAGATAAATATAGTTACTAACCTTCTAGTTAACTAGATAGTAATAGCAATTAGTAGTAGAGCGTATTTAGTCCTGAGCTCTTTCTATATTTTCTTTAGCAATCTTCTGTATATTGTATATCTAAGCAGTAAGGGATAAGGCGTCCTTATAGTTTAGTTTCTCTAGTAGAGTAGATAGGGTCTTTTCTAGTTTCTAATACTAACTTTACTTTAGTAGGTGTAACAATAAGGCAGAATTGCCTGCCTATTGTTCCATGCCGAGTTAGGCCTAATAAAGGCCTAACTCACTAATGTATATAGAGAACAGCTCGCCTATAGTTAGGATAGGTATATTCTTCTTATCCTTTTGTACAAGACCTATAGGTGTAGGAATCTTATCCTTTTCTGTATAGACGCGCACTCCTATATACCTTTAAGTTGTATAGGATACCTTTTGGATGCCCTACCTACCTAAGTTGTTACATTATAAGAAGAATATTATCCTAGCTAGTGACGGCATTTAAGAATATCGCACTTGTTATTATTTTAAGCTACTAATTTAGTTCTAGTAGCTACCTAACCCTGTAACTCTACAGTTAGAATAGCTATTAGAACTTCTAATAACCAAAGCCTATAGGTTTGGACTTCTAGACCTATAGGTAGTGCTAGATTACCTTTAGAAAAATCGCGTTAGATTGCGTTAAGGTAGAGACCTAGAGACTACTAAAAGCCTAGAGGAATTAGAGGCAAAGCTAATATCCTCCTATAACTAAACCCCCTAAAAGAAAAGAAAAGATTTATTATTCTTATTAACTACAAAATGTTAAATAAAGGCAAAGGAAGGGCATCTAGTTTAGCTACTTTTAAAAGCCTATTTACTAATAGAAAGAAATTAGATAAGGAGGACTTGATTGACAACGCCCTCCTAGAAGGACCCTCTTCCTATCTGTCTCTTAAGGTACCTTAGGCTCCTAGGAAATCTTAAAGCAACACCTCCCTTAAAGATAAATATATATTAACCCTATCTAAAAAGGAGAGGTTAGAAGAATAAGTTAAGCAACTTACTAATTAGTTGTACAACACCTTCCTCTATAAGGAGATATAGGGTACTACCTAACCTAGCTAGTCTTTAGCTTCTATATTAAACCCTATAGTGTATGCTATAAAAGCTAAGAGACAATCTAAAAAGACGCTAAATATCTCTATACTTAGTAATAGTGCTGATCCTACTTTTAGATAATAGCAAGCATCTATTTAGGATAGGCTAGAGATTAACGCTAATTACTACCCCTCTTCTAGAGCTTGGATGGTGTTAGTCTAGGGACACTACTTAGGACTAGCAAGAGAATACTTAGAGCCACGTTACCTATCTAATTCCCTAAGTCTTTAATTCTAAAAAGCTAAGGAAATAATTACCCTCCTTTAAACTTACTTTATTACTAGAAATAAGATAGCTAAGAGTTAGACTACATTTAACCGCCTGTACATAACTAATATAGAGACGTTCCCTGCTTTTAAGTTATAATTCTAGAGTCTCGTTGCTACTTAGAGGAGAAGTACCCTAATTAGAGTAGTATTACTACCTCTAGATAAAGATTACACCTTCCCTAAGGATGCTAAACCTTGCTTTCTAACAGAATTGGCACAATAATTTTAAGACTATAGTAGATTATCTTACTACTTTTAATATAGAACGCCGCCTATACCCTACCTTATCTACTCCTCCCTAGACTACTCTATTATCTAGAAAAGGACTAACCCCCTTCTAACACTCTAGAAACTAGTCCTATTTAGACGCTAATTAGAAACCCTATAATAGACCTTTAATAGCTAAACCTTATATGCCCTACTTGTAATAATAAGGCACTACCCCTTAAAATAATTAACCCCTATCTACTACGCTAGCTACTCCTAGCGCTACCACGCTAGGAACCCCCGTAACTTGCTATAATTGTAGAAAGCCTAGGCACTTCTCTAGTAACTGCCCTAAACCCCCTAGGATTTAGGCTATAGATGTAGAATAGGTTGTTAAAAATTCTAAGGAAGAAGATACTGCTAAATTAACTAATTCAGATAGCTATTAGATAGGAAATAACAACGCCTAGGAGGATCCTCCTTCCTAGGCCTAACTTAATATAACCTGTTAAACCTTTCCTTAACTAAATTATTTATTAGTTCCTATTTGCTTGCATGTATAACCCTGTGCCTTAACAGATCTAGTATTTAACTAAACGCTTTAGTAGATACTAGGGCCTAAGATTACTTATTTCTTAATTTAAAAATTACTTATAATATCTCTTCCACGCTTAGGGTACCTATCTAAAAGCTACTATATAAGCTTACTATTAAAGGGTTCTAGGATTAAATTACCTCCCTAGTTGCCTACTATATTTAGCTTTATATAATAGTTAGTGGCTAAAAGGTTTATAACTGCCCCTTTATAATAGTAGACTTAGGTTCTTAGGATTGTATTATTAGACAACACTAGCTAAAACAGTTCTAAATCCTAATTAATACAGATAAATATTAACTAATCTAGCTAGAGAAATATCCTCTAACCTACGACCCCGCCTCTCCTATTCTAGTACGACTCTACTAGCAAGTGCTATCTACTCTAGTTACCTATAATATCTTGCAAAGAGACGCCCTTTAGGATTAAGAGGAGAACTAGAACTAAAACAGTCCTAGTTTAATTAATAGGATACGTGGTATACTTAAAATTCTAGCCGCTTATAGGGCTGCTACTAAACCTATC